TGCGAGAGAAACACCCCAAAGATGAAGAAAAGGATACATGTGTGTATAAGGTAAACTGGGGTTAGTATTTGTTAGCGTTTTTTCTTTTATATGATGACCATCTTGTTTCCCTATTCCACCAGTTGGAATTGGGCAAAGGATGTATACCCACCCCGCTTGATGGCCGGGTTCGATGATGAATCTTTTATCTTTATTTCTTGTACCTATGTATGTATGTACGGTCTAGCGTCTTATCCGCTCGTACGTGTGTGCAACACTTTTTTTGTTTGTATCTTTAGATTCTTTCCTATCTTCAAAGTAAAAGAGTAGACAAACTCTATGAATCATGATGAATATAAATAAATCACTTTTGGATACGGTGGACATGCCGTTACCCGCCCTTCTTTAGCTACTTTTGCCTTGTTATGGCCAACCCTGTCATGTCATTTGCTGTCCACATGTCCAATATCATCCTTGTTGTAAGTGGCTACCATGTGTTCTGTATATTCATGCTCTCTACCTTGTTAGAATTTCCATACCTCAGAAAACCCTTAATCCCGCATGCTGTTGTTGTTGTTGTTGTTTTTTTCACACGAACGGAAATACGAATATAAGCAATCATTTTGCACAATAATATAATTACCAAGCGTATCAAAGGTATCAAGATGTTGGTGGTTTACAAAAAGTTATTCTTCAAAGTACTACATATCATGTACATTCAGAACTAAACAATTTGTTCTACCTGTTGCCTCAATCTACCTGTATGTTAACTAGGAAAGAAGGAATACTACGTTAATTATATAATTGACTTCTGTGTTATATGTATTTTTATATGTATTGTTTGGTATTATTTGACTAATATGTGACTATTTCATAGCTTTTTTTATTTTAGAAAAAAAACACCCCCCTATTCTGTGTTTATTATAAATATTAGTATTAAAGCAATCCCGTAACTCAACAGAATATGTATACAAGCAATTAAACCTTTACTATAGACCTGTAAAAAGATTAAATGAAGACGCACATGTCACCACAAAAAGAGAAGGAGAAATAATGGTTTTACACCCATGCATTAATGTGTATAAACAAGCACCACCCCGCCAACAAAGACCGAATGGCAGAAAAAAAAACACCAATACCAACAGGGCTTGGTCCTATGTATAACCAGCCACGAAAAATTTGCATTACAAGTTCTCTTTTTTATTGACCTCGACCTCACCACCTCGAGCGCCAAAACATGGGTGTACATGTGCCAAACTAGCTCTCCCTTCCACTACCTCCTCACACTCCATCGCTTCTATTCCTCGCCCCGCCTCGCCCCCCCCCCTTTCTCCCTTCCTCTCGTCCTTCCCCTGAACCACGAAGCTCCAACTGCAAGGACAAAAATCCCCTTTCTCAACGCACCGACAATACATTCTTGTTTCAAAGTCTAGGGAAGGCGCGCGTCTCTCCGAGCCAACCTTACATGAAAAAGAAGAAGAAGAAAAAAAAGAAAAAGATAATAGTAGTGGAGGTAGAAGAAGGGGAAGAATGCTGCCGCCTCACTTACATCATCTGAGCGACAGCCAAAGAGAAAATCCGAGTCTTGTTGGGAAAAAAAAAGTCGAGCCGAATGTGTATGGAAAACGAAAAGTCACGGCGAAAAAAAAGCTGTAGCCGCTAAATGCAAAGATAATCCGAATCCGACTAATACCACTTGTTGGCAGATGGAACGTTGTAATGCCGTACCTGAAGAATGGGAAACAAAAGAAATTGATAATGGCGATGATCAGATGAGCTGGGATAACTGACGCTAGAAAATGGACGCCACAAACGCCGTGCGCTGTATCGAGAGATTCCCATGAGCCTGTGTTGCACTGGAGCTGAAGTCAAGTTTTTTTTACCACTTGTGGTTTACGCAGGAGTATGTTCAGATGTAGTTGCATGGCCGTTTGTGCATGGCATTGCGAAGAAAGCACCCGGAGGTGGGATATCTGCATTCCCATAAGTTTCGAGCTTTTGTCGTTTTTCGCTCTCAAAAGTTTGCCAGTCCATTCCTTGAGTGGCGTTTGCTAAAGCGCTTCCTGCCCTTTACTGAGTCAGTATCGCCTTCTTTGCGAAGATGGCCATGGCGGGAGGCGGGAATGTTCACGCCCTCGAGGGCAGAGTCAGCTCCCAACGTACTGGTGGGAGTGGTGTGGTTTGAGACGAGCTCACTCAGGCTTGCATCGGCAGAGTACGAGTTCGACATTGTCTGTGAAAAGGCATAGTCCCGAGCTTGTTCGATGCTATCCAGCCATTCTTGAGTAGAGTACTTGCTGCCCTCGGGATCACTGGTGGTGCTTTTGGTGTCTTCGAAGACGTACTGCTTATCTCGCTAGAGTTTGTCAGCTGGGGTTGCAATATTGCAGCATGTCTACAAACGTACCGTTTCTACGAGCCAAGCAGTAAGACCCTTGGAGTCCTGGAACGATCTCCATGAACAGCCTGCTGAGAGCAATGACACCTCTTCCTTGAGCTTCTTGTCGTTTGTGCCTGCCGCACACATCAGAACGCGAGCGTTGGACGTAATCATTACGAGCCGCTGTCGCTTCTTGACAGTATTACCACCGAAAAAGCGCGAGAACTTCTTGGGTGGTTCTGCTGGCTCTTCCTTTGCGCCTACGACATGACCAGGAGGATGCTGTGTGACAAACATGTTCCCAAGCTTCAATATCCGTTCGTCTCGCTTTGTAAGGACTGGAGACCAATCAATGTCGAGCTGAGAGGGAGGGGGTAGCTCTGTGATGAGCCGTGGCTTTGGCCGCGCCTGGGGTTGGTTGGGAGCTGTTGCTGCGGGTGCGGAGGGTCCTGAAAGGATGTTAGTGGCTTCGTTGCTTTGTATGAAGGGGCAGATTATACCATTGAGCTTGATTGGTTCTTGCGGAGGCGCACTGTAGGACTTGAGGCGCGGAGCCTTTTGCTTCCACAGCCCCTTGCCCCATTGGATCCCATCAAAAAAGGCATGATTCTTAATATGCTCCATAGGCAGTCGTGTCAATGGATCCAGAACTAGCAGCCGCTCAACCAGGTCTTTTGCTAGCGGAGGGAAGCCGTCTGGAAATGAGTATTCGAGTCCGACAATTTTCTGAAATGTCATGTATTCGTTTGCAGCCTTGAACGGAGGTCTTCCGGCAAGTAATTGGTAGATGATGCAGCCAAAGGCCCAGAGATCGCTCGCTTTGCACGCATTCTTGTCAGTTAGTAGTTCTGGGGACACATATTCTGCAGTTCCCACAAATGATTGCGCGCGGTCCGACTCGCTGGTATCTAGAGGATCACCACTTGACCCGACACCGTTTGATCTCTTCTGGTCCAGTATCTTTGCCGTGCCAAAATCCGTAATCTTGACATGCATTGCATCGTCGAGGAGGACATTCTCGGGCTTCAAGTCTCGGTGTATGACGCCCTTGTTGTGCATGTAGTCGATTGCGTCCAGTATTTGAGCTCCGTAGAACCGTGTGCACTCGACGTCAAATGTACCCATTTTCTTGAGGAAGCCCAGCAATTCACCCCCAGATGCCAGGTCGAGGACAAAATATAAGGAGCGTTCGTCCTGGAAGGTGTAGTAGAGTCGGACAATGCCAGGGTGCTCCGTCAGGCGGTTGAGCGTATCCTTTTCAATGTTCACGTATTTGACCTTCTTCTCCTTGATGATATGGCGCTTGTCGAGCACCTTGATTGCGTATTCGCGCAGTGTCTGGCGATCTGTTGCTGCCAAGACAGTACTGTAGGAACCCTCGCCCAATGTCCTACCAAAGTTGAAGTCCTTGACGCCCTTCTTGACCACGCGGGTGATTGGCCTGCCATTCTGATCTAGGTCCTGTCTAGTGCTCACAGCGGCACCCCGCTCTTTCCACTCCTCGCTGCTTGAGAGCGGCCCACCCTCGACGCTGTACGGAGAGCTGGATAATTGGGATGCCCCGGGATGGTGTGCTTCCATGGGCACCCGCCGTGAGCTTCTCCGTGGCGGGAGAGGCCCGTTGATGGCCGACATTTGTGCGGACTGGCGGTAGGGGTCCCGTCTGCTGTGCTCTCTCGTGGGCATGGCACCCGGGGCGACTCGGGAGCTCGCAGTGCGGCGAATGTCCGTGGCCATTGCGTCGTCGTTGTAGCGGTATGTGCCAGGGGCGGTGGTGGACGAGGTGGAGAGGTTGGGATGTTGGTACATGCTCGTGGACACGGGGCGTTCTCGCATGGGCTGCGACGTGGGCACAGCGCTGCGCTGCTGCTGCAGCAACGGGGCGGCGGCGTAGGCGGGATAGACAGCCTGGTGCTGTGCTTGCTGGGCCTGCTGGGCCAGGGGCATCGACTGGCGGTGGGACAGGCGCGGCGAATGCGATGACAGCGACGACGTCTCTGCTAAGGGGGAGGGAAATGCAGCGGGCGAGCCCGAAGGTGACGAGGCATAGGCATTGTGGTTGACCGAAAGCGAGTCTGAGGCGGCGGGCTCCTCGTCGATGGACGCGTAAGAGGAGGCGGGGTCGTACGAGGCGAGGGGCGAGTGGTGCTGGGGGTGCTGGAGGTACAGCTGCTGGTGCTGGTGCTGCTGCCTGTCGGTAACGGTAGCCGACGACGAGGCGCGCGAGGGCGGCAGTGGTGAGGGCGGTGGTGATGCTGATGCTGATGACGACGCGGGTTGCGGGAGCTGCGGCGGAGCGTCTGGGGCATCTGACGACTGGGGGAGCAGCTGGGGGTTGGGCGAGGGAGGCGAGGGAGCGTCGTCGTCCTCGTCTGGATTGGCAATGCGCAGTCCGCCGAGCGTCTGCGACAGGCTCAGGTCGCCATTCATCGTGGCGGCCGGTGGGCTGCACTGGCGGTAAACGAGCGAAGGGTTGCAGGTAGCGAAGGGACCACCCGCGGCGCGTCAAAGGAGCCTCGATTAGCGTGCGGGATACGAGGGTACAGCGGAGGCATGGCAGGGGCCCCAGAGGCCGGTCGATGGGTTGGGTTGGGTTGGGTTGGGGGGGATTGGGGACGAGATGCGGCGAGGTGAGGTTCGTATGGCGCTGCTGCTGCTGCTGCTGCTGCGGCTGCGGCTGCTGCTGGCCGTGGTGCTCCAGACGCTCGGTGATGCCATGTCTCGGCAAATGGCTGACGGCCTGACAACACCTCGACGACCCCGTCTATCCGTCTATCCATCCCTCTCTCCACCGTGCCCGCCCACCACACCCGCCACTTCTCTGCTGCGACCATGGCTGTCTGTGGGCACCACGTACGGCGAGGAAGGCACGGCATCATGCATCGCTGTTCGCGCAGCAGTGCACCGCCATGGAACTTCCCGAGACCCTGTGCAACACCAGGCAACGGCAATGCAGATGGTCACGGATAAGGCAATGGTGATGGCAATGGCAATGGCAATGGCATTGGAGATGCCAGTCGCTCATAGCCAGTGTACAACATGTCTCGAACCAGTTCTGTCCGGTTCACCACCATGCTGAGACCCTTCGCTTTTGGACCCTACAACATCCCTTTGCCAGACCCCTCAGGCAATTGCCGCTTGCTTGCCCCCGAGGTGGCTCACTATGCTACGTTTGCGCCCATCAGAGCTTGCCCTGACCCCAGACGACGTTGACGAGACATTCCGCCGCATCTCCCTCAAGCAGACATCAACAGCACGACAACACTGGGTAATGCGCCCTCACAGCCAACCCGGCCGGCCCATCCTGCGACGTGGCCCGCAGAGATCCACGCGCGATGCCATCACTGCTCTCGGTAACATTCCCGTCTTGCAGCCCCAGCAAGCTGTCTTCGATTCTGTCAATGAGGAAGAGCACGTGAACAGCCAGCAAGCAACTGAACCACCAGGCCATGATAACAAACATGCAGCCATGCCCCATCACACACCTGAGGAAAGTGATGAAGTAGTTCCAGCAGCCTCACCAGTATCACGTACCGTGCAGCTTCCACTGCGCCCTAGGCCGGACGGCCAAGTACTAGACACACACATCACTTCTGACGAACAAGGTGAGAGCGCTTCCCACCCACCCTCAGATCCACTGCCTAGACCCGCAACGTCTGGACCCACTGGGACTATCGATAGTGGTAATGGGCAATCCGCACGGTTGCCCTCAGCCGACTCTGTTGGGAACACACCAGGGCTGCGAGGCGGTGGAAGTCTAGCAGGCATTGCTTATTATGATCACAATGGTCGTCGAGACGCCATCCGTGAGCATTCGCCATTATATCAGGTACAGAAACTCGCCTCGCCTGCCCAGCAAGTGTCTCCAGGAGACCCCACCAAATCACCGACTAATCCTAGCTCTAACAATTCTATCCTTTGCTCAAATGTCTCCTTGACTCAGACTCCGAGACGGACGCACTGCCATTTCCAGAAGCGCCTGCCAAATAGTGAGCCGCGTCACAGTAGTGGTCCTCAGCCAGCTATCGCACGAAGCCTGTCATCGGGAGCCACGCCATTGTCCAGTGTCGCAAGTCCAAGCGACCCATCTGACGACGTGTTCAGAACACCAGCAGTGTCAGGAGATTTGACCAGACGCCACAGGAACTCTTACAGATTGACCAGCAATGATTTTTCAACACTTGGTCCAAGGAATTTGTCAAGTATTGTGGGAAGTGTGAAACAATCGGATCATACAAGCGTGAGACCTCGAGAGCGCGGCAGTGACGCTACCAGCGCCAGCACAAGTTACTCTTGGTATGGGTCGCTTTCTTCGGATACGCGGTTCCCAAGTAGTGAGCATTCACAAGATGAGTCATCTCCTCCTCTCCAGCTGGATGGGGTCAGGACTAGGTCACATGGACCTTCACCTCTTCCGTCTATGCCATATACACGAATGCATAATGATGCCACCTCCGCACCACCACCAACATTAGACGACTCGAGGCAGATTTCCGGAGGCTATGTCGAAGCTGCGACTGCTGCCGTTCATGATTTGCAATCACCTCTGGATCCGTATGCAGAGCACTATCAGCGGCGTGTACACACTCAGCATGCCTTGCTCAACTATCCTACGTATGCAAACCCCGCCAATCCCTCGCTCTCTACGAGGGGCAATTCGCCCACCTTTCTCAGGCCAAGTCAATCCTTCCGGATGGAACAAGGCTCGAGTGAAAACGCACCAGTTTCAGTGCCAGTCAATCACGGTGATGCAAGCCGTTATGGCCGAGTGCCGGCGCACAGAGCGGCATACCAACGCTTGCAGAGTCCACCTTACACCACGTACTCTGGTGCTATAGGAGGCAGTGAGATGTCATCATCCCGTTACAGTGCGCAGCCGGCCGCGGCCCCGCATGACACATCCAATCGATTTCGCAATTACATGGCGCATGGTTCGGCAACGACGGGTATGCCACGCGGTGGAGAAGTATCTCGTTCAGCAAGCGCACTGCCCATGCACGCGCTGCAACATGAGTTTCAGATGCAGAGCCACCACCACGTCGTCGAGGCCGAATCACCGAGGTCGTCACCACGACAGCCATGGGGCCAGTATAGGGCCGAGTTTGCAAGCCACGCGCCTGTACGGATGTATCGATCGAGGTCTAGCTTCCTCAGCCTGCAACCAAGGCGCGATGGTCCTCTGAGCGCTCTTGCTTCGTTTGAGCAAGGCAGTGGGACTACGAGCAGATACACGCAGTCGTCACTCATTCGAGCCACGGCGGCAGCAACGGGACGGACATATCGGCGGATTCGGCCAGAACAGCGTGATCAAGAGAATCATGGCGATGGCATGGCGATGGGGCGCGAGGAAGCGAATGTGGCGGCGCGGTATGGCGATGAGGAGCAGTACCGGACCATGATGAATGAGACGCCGCCGAGGATTGGGCGTGTTGAGCGCAGGATGATGGAGTAGGTAGGTGGACCGGGTTAATGTTGGAGTTGAATACAATGGGAACATGGGATGATTGGACGATTAATTGTAGTGGTGGTGACATTGAGTTAGTTCATGGCAGGGTTAAGAGACGAGCATGGTTTGCTTGTCTTGTTTACACTACTACTGCTAGTCAACAGATGTTGAGTGTAGATTTTTTTTTGAAACAGTAATTGGTACCGCTTATTAAGAAGAAGCCATAGATATGAGGCTTCTGGAAGCTAGGTGTCCTGCGGTCTATACAGGGCGAGTGTATAGTGTTGAAGCCGGGCATGGTGTAGTTGACGTTGATGAACATGTTCTTGTTCCTGCCAAGTGTAGTAGTACTACCCACTTTTTTTCTTTTTTGCATTCCAGCCATTGCCGTTGTCTTACCGAGAATTGTGACGGAGGGGTAGTTTGGTACACTAGATTTTCGATAGAGCAGAAGACAATGTAATGAGTCTAGTGTGACTGTGTACTGATTTGTGTTACTACCACATGACTTGTCTGGAACGTGCTGAGAGGGTTTGTTCTGTGTGGTTGTGAGAGCAAGTAAGTTTGGACATGTCACTGTACATGAAGAATGAAACAAGGCGCGGGAGTTATCAGGCAGCCAACTTCCTGTTTCGGGGCCATGTACGTACACGGTGGCGTGCATTGGGAAGGAAGGGCATGACGATGTATGGAGCGTGTTGGCAGTCGGCTATGACTCGAACTGGGGCGAACACGTCGATTCTGCGTGCGTGCCGGTAGTTGGATGGCCGCAAAACCAGTCCAACTGCATTTGCCATACGAGTTACCGTGACTTGGAGCATGTACTTACTCCTGCTTTGTGCATGAAAGGTTTGCCGGCCGGCGGGCAGCCAGGCCAACAAGCTACTAGATGAAATCGGGCCCTTTTTTTTGGGGGGGGGGGGTGTGTGGTCCAGAAGGTTAGAAGGTTAATGCATGGAAGGCGAATGGCAAGAAGCCAAGAAGTCATGGCTAGTATGTTTTTGGGATGCGTTGGGACGTTTACACCCAGCCGTGGCCTATCGGTTGGGTGTGGTCTGGACTGGATGAAACATGATGGGTGTGGTGGGGGCTGCGCCATGGTGCAATGGCGAATGCGGGGTCTGGTTTAGAGTCGAGCGTATAGTAGGCGCACCGTGAATAGCAGCAACCATGGGGTTGTATGTAAGCAAAGACGACGAAACTGGGAAGCGCAGTCGAAGGCGGAGGCGACGAGATCCGAAGCCCAAGATAGAGATGCCATTTTTGGGGGTTTGGGGTGGGTGACGCGAGCGCTTCGTGGGGTGGGCGGCTCGCACGAACCCGCATCCCGTTATAGCAGCCGGTGGGCGACTAGCACGCAAAGAGCCTCATCTGGCGCCCGGCCTGAGAGCGAAATGTTAATGCGTCGAGTGACAAGCGACGTGCGACCAGGACAAGTCGATGCACGTGATGCTTGGTAACACGGGTTGACAAAGAACAGCAGCATCTCCGTCAGGACCAGTAGCCAAGGCAGATGGGATGCAATTTAGACAAAGTTGCATGAGCATTGATTGGACATGGGCATTATGTACATTTATCTCGGTGGCTTTGTCGGTCGGTGATTGGCCGACCGGGGTGGCTGAGGCGGTGCAGCGGCTGTTGAGGCTCCTCGCTACCGTTGGCATTTAAGGAAAGGAAAAGAAAAAAAAAGGGTCTGGGCCTGGTGAGGTTAAGCAAGCAGAGATGGAATGTAGCAGTACAAGGAGCATCGGGCTCGATTCACTACCCACAGCCCACAGCAGGGCTGGAGTGGACTGAGTGCACGCTGGCATGTGGCGGCAGCATGGCGATTTGTGGAGAGCAATGCAAAACAGACGTGTTGAAACAAATAGAGAGGTGTTTGCAATGCGCATGAGCCAATCCCGAGGGCATGTCGGAGGCAAGCAAGTAACGCATGACAGCGATCCAAGGGATCCATGGGCCGTCGGTGGTGGAGCTGGCGGAGCAGGCGGAGCGTAGAGCACCATCTGGCCGTCGCGAGAGAGGTCGGATGGACACGCTGTCATGCGACGGGGTGACAGATGGCAGAATCTGCTGCTGATCGCCCGCGGGCCTTGGCGCACATGCAACACACATTGGGCAGAGGGCGTGGTGCCATGGGTGTGGGTGTGGGTATGGGTGTGCTTCTTTTTGTTTTGATCATTCACGGTCATTTCGTCATTTGTCATTTGGCGCGCATTGTAGTGGCCTGGCGTATGTCTGTAGATGGGTGGTGCTGGCTCGAGTTGAGGGTTGATACTTACTCCAGGGCCATAGCATACCCTTTGACTGGAGACATGCATGGTTTTGCTGGGTGAAGCCAGCCATCGACTAGATAACGAAAGGCCTTCCTAGGGTAGCTAGCATAGTGCCGGCAGGCGTAGCGAAAGCTTCTCTGCCTTTTTTTTTCTTTGGCTGCTTCTGCTCCGCCGCCCAATCCACGACGCATTGCTAAAGTACGCGTGGTAGTGAGTGTAGTGTAGTGTAGTGTAGTGTAGTGTACTCTAGAGTCGAGGCCCAGCAGCAGCCCAGCAGAGCAGCCCAGCAGCCCAGCACACAGGCACACAGGCACACCGACGATGCTTTTGCACGCAGAGGCCGCCGCCCCGTGGCCAGAGTATCCCGGGCACACGAGGCTGGGAAACGGGCGACAGGCGTGCTGGTGCTGCTCCGGCCGGGCTCGTGTGCGTCACTGTACTCTATGCTGCTACTGCTACTGCGTGGTCGCCTGCTATTCATCCACCACGCCCATCCGGCTCCACTCTAACACGCCTCACCGCCTCAAGCACCGTCTGGCAGGCTGGGAACGTGACCCAGATGCGCTGCCAGCAGGCCCGTCTAGTCCCCGCCGTGTCTGCAGATACATAATTGTCGACGACGCCGGCCGGGCTGCACAACTGCAACGTCTTGAACGCCCTGGCCTGCAGTGCAGTTGTCAGTCATCCAAACCATCAGCCATCAACCATCAACCATCCATCATCCATCGCTATCGCTATCGCTATACTACGCTATACTACGCTATACTACGTACGCTACTGCTACCTACTCACACTACACCCATTCAATCTCCCCCTCCCTGTCCTCAAACATTGTCGCCCGCCCTTCGAAACGCGACTCGCAACACGCCTTGATTGGCCGTCGCTCCCTGTCGCCTACCGCGCCCTGCCCTGCCGGCAAACCATTGGCTTGCACTTGAAACACTGTGCATTCCTGCCCTCGTGCCCTCAGCACCACTCGCAATCTTGCAACCCCCCCAAACCGGCCATACAGCCGCTGCCCACCGTCCCAGCGTCGCGCCCTACCCACTCGATTGGCTGCCACCGCCAGCCGCCGAACCACGACGCCCATAGGCCCCGTACGATTGCCTCTCAGTTTAGCATCCCACCTGTGCCTGCACCACCACCCCAGGGGCCCCCGTTGCTATTAAGTATCCCGCTCGCCAGCCCGAGGAAACACTCCTTCACACACACACTGTCAGTCACACAACCTTCCCTTCTTCTCTCCCTTTTTTTCTTTTCCCACCTCCGACCCTGCCATCCCAGCGGTGCAGGTGCCTCGTCCACTCCGGCAGTGACGCTCGCCTTCCTTCCCCCTACTACTAAACGCCACCACCACCACTACCACTACCACTACCACTACCACTACCACCCCCCCCTTCCAAATCCCTTATTGGCAGCGCCATCCACACCTTCTCTCCACAACACCAAAAAAATTTCTTGCCTCCGCCCCCCCCGTCTCGACTGCCCTTCGTCTTCCGACTGGACTCGGACTTTTCCGTCGCTCTAATATTTCTGCTGCCTTGTCAATTCAACCTTGTTGTCGTGCTGCCACCAAGCCACAGCACAATCAGCCTTGGACACCCGCTTACCCACTCTCCAGACCGGAACCACATTCACTTCTTAAGACATCACCACCACCACCACCAAACACACACACACACACACACACAACTTCACCATGCCTTACTCACCAAATCTTGCTGCCGAGAACCAGGCGGCCCTGGACCACTTCATCCAACTCCCAGTGTCAAGTGACATGATCTCATATCTTGCACAAAAGGCTACTCAAGTCATCCGCTGCGAGCCATGCGTCAACAAGACCCTCCCACCTACACCACCAGCCTCGCCCTCTCAGCACATTGCCTCGCACCCCCGGGAACCGGCCCTTCCATCCGTCGAAGAGTTCATCACTTCCATTGTCGAGAGATCACATGTCCAGACTGCCACCCTCATGTCTTCGCTCATCTACCTCAGCCGGTTACGGTCACGCCTCCCCCCTGTTGCAAAGGGCATGCGCTGCACTGTCCACCGCATCTTCCTCGCCTCGCTCATTCTTGCGGCTAAGAACCTCAACGACTCATCGCCCAAGAACAAGCACTGGGCAAAGTACTCCTCTGTTCGCGGCTACGACAACTTCGGCTTCTCCATCACAGAGGTCAACCTCATGGAGAAGCAATTGCTCTTCCTCCTCGACTGGGACCTCCGCATCAACACGGACGACCTCTACTACCACTTCGAGCCCTTCCTAGCTCCCATCCGTGTCTGGCAATCACGCCAGGCCGAGAAGGCCAGGCTTGCCGAGAAGGAGAAGGAGCTTGCTCGCAAGCAGTACCAGCTCACCACTGAGAACCTCTCGCGCTCAGTCCACACCTACCCATCAAACTCGTCCATGTCTTCACACACTTCCCGTGCTCAGAGGCATCGCATGCAATACGTCCCATCATCTCGCGCACCTTCGCGCACGCCATCACTATCACCACCTACCCGAAGCTCCTCGGCCTCAGTCTCATCGGAATCGCCTTCCAGCTTCCACGAGGAGCCTTCAGAGGCCGTTCTCCACCGCTACGACGCGGACCAGGGTGCCAACGTTGTATATATCAATGGCCCTATCCCGTACACAGCCTCCAAGCAGCAGCATGCTCTCCCGCTGTACGAGCACCAGCCTTCCAAAAAGGTCAAGACGTCAGCGGGCGGCATCTTCAGCCGGATGTTCGGCCAGACGGGCGCATACGCCGGCCGTCAGGTCACGTATTAATTTGATTTGCTATCTTGCACACACACACACACACTGTCGCTTACCACCACTTTGTCATGTTTCCTTCTTTGTGTTTTACTTTTCTTTTTCTTTTAGCTTTGCGCTTGGTTTCACCAAGGGGAGTCTCAACGGGTGTTATACGGCTGACATGATCTGACGAAAAATGCTCACTGGATGGGACATTTCTTCGCCCATCTCGTCACCAGTTGCATTGGAAGGCGTTCATTTCTCAGCATTTGCATAGCACAGCATGGAATCGGCGTTGGAAATTATCATCCTCATCACATCATCAATAGTTTGTCGGAGCACCGACACACAGCTACTAGTTCAAGGTTCGCTCCGCTGTCTGTCCTCATTTGGCAGGTGGCGCGAGTAATGAAAAAATCATTAAACATATTTTGAATCACTCCACTTGTGGCTTTTGCATCTTGTTTTGGCTTGGCGGTGCACCAAACGGCCTAGGTTTCCGAAAAATAAAACAGCATGACGCCCTTTGCTCTGCCTTTCAATCTCGGTAGATTGCATCTGACGGGGCGCGCTAGGGCTGCAACGGCTATCTATCTCACGGCACGACTACTACTAGGGCGTTTTATCCAACTAGCGGGAACGACTGTTGCATTTGGCCATGCGCGACTCATCTACATTACATGCCAACGTTCCAAAGAGGACGTGGGATCAATAAGACGCTGAGACCCCTCGTAGATCCATTATCAAACACGACTCACACACATGGCCGAGGGAGATGCGACATTTGGGCCGCGGCAAAACCAAAAAAAAAAGGGACATGGCGTGTCTGTCGTCTGTTTGTTTCCGTCTTGACTAATCACACGTATGAGAGGGTCATGATATGGAAGAATATACTCTTGCCTACAGCATCAAGACTCTTGTAAAGATGGACCGATGGCCGAGCGGGCCGCAGGCGTGTCTCAGCAGCATGTGTGGAGTGTAGTTTATTTCCATAGTAGAGGTAAGTAGCAGATGACCCGAATATTTGTCCGCAAGCACATGTACACTATGTCATCCTCTCGTATCTGCCTCGTGATGCGACTCAGGCTTTTTTTTTCTTCTCTTCTCATCATCTCCCACCACTCACTCCACCTGCCTTTTCTTGGACCGTCTCCGCTTGCGCAGCCATACTGGGCTGACAGACTAAGCATAACCCCCCCCCCCACTACATGTACCAAGTCTATCTGCCAACCGTTTGATTGAATTGATCTACGTCTGCCGCTTGTTTGTCTCCTTGGCCTTGGGTCCCAGGCCCGTTGCGGAAAAACCAATGAAGTGCGGGATGTAGGTGATACTTGAGACCGGAACTAGGCTGACACGCAGCCCGCGATGCCAACGTCGAAGATTCCCGCGGTAAGCACTAGACTAGACGACTGGCATATACACCAAGGCAGCACGGCATATGGATTGCTACTCTACATGCTTTGTGAAGAAGAGCGAAAGAAAAATAGTGTGCATGCTCATCTAACTAAATCAACCACCCTCCTCTATCGACAGCCAAAGAAAACGAATCCTCTCGCTTTCCTCCCACACTTACCCCCTTCCCCCCTGCATCTACCTGGCGTTGCATCTGCCTCACCAACCCAGCCCGTACATGTCATACCACGTAAGTACTTCGATACCCCAGAACATGGTGTCGCACAAGTCGAAACTTATTTTCATCAATAAATTTACCCTTTCTGCCTTTTCTTTTCTTTTTTTCCCTTCCATTGGGTTTGCGCACGCACAAACCCAGATGCAGATCAAACGGTGGCCCGGATTCAGATGATCTGACACTCTGCATGTTGCTTGTACATTAGTATTTTACCCTTGAGGCCTGGGGGGTTGACGCCCCCCCCGTTTGCGCGCCCCATGTTTCATCTTTCTTGCTTTTTTTCTACTCGCTTGGGTCTAGCGTGGAGATTATACCGGGGCAGGCTTAGCTGTGTGATTGGCGGGATTGCTATGGTGGGGCCGAGACGGTTGCGACTAGACTGAATTGAGAGGACAGGGTCAAAATCGCCGGTGTTTGTTTCATCGTGTGCGAAGATGAAGATGCTTACGCCTATGCCTACGTGTGTTCGGTGGCTCTGGGTTTTGGCTTGGGCGTTGGGTGCGTGGCCTGTGGAGATGCGTTGGTGGGGTGGGGATGAGAGTGATGTCATCGAGGGGTCCTCCATTCCATGCCACGTCTTTTACTGTGTTGTACATCTCAAACGATGCTGTATGCTGGATATCCTATCGTGATTGATTGTAACCACTGTTCATATATGAACGCAAAGCGTTGTCGAGACGAAAAGCCCAGCCTTGCACTGATTGGCTTGCTAGCATTACCTCCCGCAACTAGTAGTATATTGCCGATCCCCTTGACCCCTTACCTAGTCTTGGACTTGTGAATGAACCTAGTGCCTTTTCCTTTGCCAGATGAGAGCCTGTTGCATCCATTGATACAGAAACTGAAGCTTTCTAGATACATACACTACTGGTCTTCTGAAGTAAACACCAGCACCAGTTGGCATTCGTTTTGCATTCTAAGCTATACACACTACACATACCATCGCTAGTCACTACAAAACCAACCCGCCCATCGCCTTGGGAGCGCTCAGCAATCAAAGTCGTCTTAGTCGCCACAGGTGGTGTCACCAATGCTGAATTCAAGGTCCTGGTTCGACCCGGCCTTGACATTATGTTGGAGCAAAGCCTGAATAACTTCGCACTCGGATTCCGCATACAGTGCAGCACAGAGCCTCAAGATGCAGATTATAGGGCGCCCGTCAAGAGCACGCACCAACGTGGGTGGGCAGCCTTCCAAGTCCTCGTTGATCACTTCGGTATAGCTCACACCCAATGATTCAATCATAACTCTCAACATGCCTGCAGCATGGACACAGTCGATCCCAGGGATTGCTGGCTTGCAAAAGTTGTACAAACATTCCCTGCGCTCAATATTGTATCCTTGTCTAATCATCTTTATGTCGCTCACAATATCTGGACACATGTCCCGGAGTTTTCTGGTCACCTGCTCGCAAGAACAGCCTAGCAAGAGCGGCTTGTACTTAGCATCGCATATCTCAGGATAGAGAGCGCGGTCATGGGCCTTGACCACTCCCTCGTCGCAGTCTGGTATGACTCCAGGGTGGTACTTCTCGATCACCTGGCACAGCGAGGTACGCTGCTCGCGACTTTTGAGCGGGAAAGTGTACGTGGCTCGTGGTGTGGGCGATGCATGGACGGTTCGTCTTCCCGGGTATATCACCCTAGCTTCACAGTTGTGAACGACCGGTGGATTGGTGATGATGAGTACCTCGTAAACGACTACTGAAGAGTCATCTCCATAAAAGGGGTTTCCGTCTACTGACGGCTCATTATTGGTCTTCAATTTGTTACATGTCAAAGGGTTGAGCCAGTGGTTGTTGCAAAGCCAAGGAGTGGTGAATTGGGGATTCTGCAGCTGTTCCTCGCATTCGTCCGCAGCCATGTCGATTGGGAATTGCTCAAAGTATCCATGGTAATCCAGATTATTGGATGTCTCGATATCATTGTCAGTGGGGTGATGACAGGCTTGGATCTGCTCAAGAGACGCAACCTCCTTGGCGGGTATGGTGCGGGTGATCCCACATAGGACCAATTCCACCTTGTCTGTTGCATCGCACTCATGCGCCACAACGTCAGTGGAGTTGTACTGAGAGGTGCAGCTGTGAAAAGTGAGATTGCGGTGGAGATAGCCTCCACCAACCGAGGTCAAGTGGATCCAGGCCTTGAGCTTGTCTTTGTTCTCGATTGAATAGCCAAAGTCAATTCCATCCACAAGAGTGTAGATGCCGTCTGATTGCGTCAAGATCTTGATTGCGACACCAGAGACATCTATCGACCCGAGACGCCAGGGTTCTTGGTATTGGCCTCCAGGCTTGACGGGGACGTTTTCAGTGTGAATAGGACCGAGGAAGGGAAAGGACCAGATCTACACATTATGCTGACATTTGTTGGTCACAATGGCTCGAGCCTGCGCTAGGGTGAAGAGGACCATTGAAATATAGAAACACCCAATCATTTTGACCATGGAGCAGTGGAAGCCACTCACGTGGCGAGTACTTGGGCGCGGTTTGGGTAGGACAGCAGCGGCAAAGTAAGACGGTGACGGGACGGATGGACAAAGAAACGAAAAGGTATTGATGAGGTTCCAGACAAACGTCATGACCGAAAGCCACAAGAGGCAGTCTTGGTAGGAAGCCTCCTTCCCAGTTCTCTGATGGCATTGGAGTTGTCAGGCGCAGGCATGGCAGGTCATGTATCGATAGACAAGGTAAACAAGAGCAAACGTGGTCGCATGGACTGTCTCGCAACCAGCTAACACGCGCTATGAGACTCGTCCATACCTATCGCCCCATCGGCTGTGCATGCACCTGTGCAATGCCTCTCTGCTTCATCATTGGGAAAATGTTGTCAAGTATGCTGTCAACTGCTAGACAGAATCAGCAAGGATATCCGTTCCTTGTTGGCTACGAGGACCGCATCCATGTATCCCATGGACAAAGATACGTCTTTATTTGGATTTGTGGTCAGAGTTTCCAGGCCGTCTTCTTTCTTGTGCTAGTGGCGTTGTTGGATTTTGGTCGATACAATAATGTCGATGTGGGTGAAACGGAGCCGCCCGCCTTGGTGATTGCCGTCACACCAAGTACTTTGTCCAGTGCATATATCAGTTTTTTCTTGTTGCCGAAAAAACAGGTGTCGCATACGTCGCAGGTACTGGCTCATACGTGAAGAAGGCTTCGAGAAGAGAACAAGTATGCGCTTGTCGGGGCAGAATTGGAACGTACCAAGACTTGCCTGGGACTGTGAGGGCTAGCGGCTCTGCGACCTGAGGCGGGCATGAAACACTGCAACCCTCAGCATCAATGACAGGAGAATAATAAGAAGACCACGGCCCCTGGCATACCGACCGCCATTGTTTTTCCGACCGCAGTCTCATTTTTTTCTTTTCTTTCCTCGCTACTCGTTTTCACCGCAGGTCCGGTACAGAGAGGTCCGATTCGCGCCTAAGCCCCAAAGACGCGCCAGTAGTCGTACGCGCCCCGCCATTCTCGATGCGCCAACAAGCTTCCTGTATCGACATGCCCGCCATGCCGTCCGGAATAAAAGAAATCCCTGTCCAGCTCCCCAAAAGCTTCGACCGCCCTGACGAGCCATGGCACCACTACCTTACCATTGACCTGATATGGTACGTCTTCGGGTACACGATATTTCATCCCTTTGTCTCATGGGTTGTCGTTTTGTGCCTCCGGGCGCAATACACACCGTATGGCAACCTCGAGATGCGCCTCGCTACTGCCTGGGCTATGCTCATGTCCATCATTGGCCTCTTCGGCCTGCTCAGCGACCGCATCGCTTTTGGACCGCCGCGCGAGGTGGATTTGGCTGAAGAGGTCATCGTAGTCACGGGCGGCGCCGAAGGATTGGGCGCACTCTTGGCCGAGACATACGGCATGCGCAATGCCAACATTGCTGTTCTCGACACCAAGAAGGTCGACGACGAAGTGTCCGAGAACACGGGCGTGTTGTACTATGAGTGTGACGTCAGCGACGCAAAACAAGTCGAAGCCGCTGCAGTCCAGATTATCGAAGATGTGAGCATATCGACTCCGACGTATCGCATTGGATACTGACAACCGTAGCTCGGGGCCCCAACCATTCTCATCAACAATGCAGGCATCATGCAGCCAAAGTCGGTCCTCGATTCGACCGCCGAGGAAGTTGAGAGGTACGCATGGAGCGTCGCTAACATGGACATCTACTGATATACCAACCAGGACCTTCCGCGTCAACACGCTTGCCCACTTCAACACTCTCCGCACATTCGTACCACATATGCTAAAAGAAGGCCGAGGCACCATCGTTACTGTCGCGTCTGTCCTTGGACATCTCGGTGCAGCCAATCTATCCGCCTACACTGCCTCCAAAGCGGCACTCCTGGCGCTCCATCAGTCATTGCGCGCTGAGCTTGCGCAGAACCCCGACGCCAAGCATATAAAAACCATTCTTGTAACGCCTGGCCAGATGGGCACACAGATGTTTGCAGGACTCAAGACCCCAAGCAACTTCCTTGCACCCATTGTCACGCCTGCTGAAATTGGCAAGGACATCATACGTATGATTGAGAAGGGCGATAGCGGAGAGATTGCAGTACCCCTCTACTCAAGATATATCCAAATCCTTGGTGTACTTCCTTTTGGCGTTCAGCACCTCATCAGGAAATTGAGTGGCATGGACAAAGCGGTAGGCCGCATGAGAGAAGTGAGACAAGAGCTGAAAGAGAAGAAATAGCTAATGTTTTATCCAAACCCAAATATAAGATTCAGCTGCCTTGTTATCATAACACGTAGTTCCCAATCTTGTAAAGGGCTTCAAGTTGGCCAGCACACTCGATCTCTCCAATTGACTGGCCACTGCTGTGAGGCCCTACCAATATTTGCCTCATTTCGTTATGCGATGAGTCTTAGGCTCATTGATGAGTTCAACACTCGGCAGAGCCGGTGTCGCATAAGATCCTAATAAGGATCGTGTGGTTGTTTGAACTATTCCTCTGATCTCCAACATGCGGTATGGACAACTGCATAGTACTGAGACGGCAGCCTCTATTTGACGCAACCGAAGGAGTCGCTCTTGACATTTCGAGCGTGGTGTTTCGCCAGCCTAACCTGGCACCCGTTTCTTACCGAGTCAGGTCATGCTAATAGTTGTAAGTCAATAGGATTGTACTACAGAGTTGCTGTGTACAGGGGTACTTCACAATATTTTCTCAAGGAACACGTCATGTCACAATGAGGGAAGTTTACAGAGTGGGTTGAGCCTGTTATCTTGTCTCAACATGCTTTTTACCGCTGTACTGTACCCAATGAATCTTTCGGTGTCGGCAGCGTTACGTAACCACTCTTCGCTCGTTCGCTCCTCGGTGATTGTAGCGGTAGCTTCAAGGCATCCACCAACGATGTCCGTAATCGTAGCGACACTAGGGCAAAGACCTTGATGTTGCGTACTATTGCACAGTGGTTTAGCGCAACAAGAAAATATGCATATCTCAGATCATTGCTTCGCATTGTGTTATCAGTGACCAGCACCTATTGCAGCTGAAGCGTAAACAACGAAGCGTAGGAACCACGCATAATTCCGTTTGCTTAGTCAATCTTATACTTCAACCCTACACCTTGAAGTTGATGCATGTGAGTGTGTTCCGAATTTATTCGCGAAGCGAAATCCAGGAATATTATGGTTCCCTATTAGTGCAGGATGTGTCGTCTGGCATGGTTGAGAGATGTGAGAATTCATTACATATGAGCACACACCATGGTTTGTTGCTACTCGCGTCGCATTCTCTTCTCCTACTGGTGTTCAAAACCTCAAATCGCATTGCAAGAACCACATGCGCTACTCTGAGAGGACTTAAAGCCAATAATGATATCAACACACCCGCCTGAGACCTCCCGAATTTCCGAGACATCTAAACGGACTATCTCGATGACCTTGACGACTCGGCAATGCAAGCAGCATATCTCTTTCGTCTGGATATTCTCTTTCGCATTCGCAAGACCTAGGTGACATCCTCGGACTTCCTTACGTCCCACGACTCGAGACCGGGACCGGGGAAGACGGCGAAGCGCACTTCTGCCGCCTATCCCAACTCGATATTGATGTATTGGACTCATGGCTCGGCGAGCATTACCCCGCGAGGAAATTCACTAAGATTCGACTCAATATCGCGCATAAAGATCCTCTCAATCTACCAGCCTTAGTCCGTGATCCCACTCTTCCTCATCATCTTCTATCCAAGCCCGCTCCGCCTTATCATAAGGATAACAATGGAGAGGGTGTGTGCCCAATGTTTTGTTTCTTCCACGGCTCACTAGCCTCGCCGTCACGACTATCAAGGCTTTTTGCCATTCCCTCATCTCAACTTCTCCGCCTTGAACCTGCAACTTTACTAGATGGTGAGATATTGGCATGGGCAGGTAGGAATCGAGCATTGGCTAATTACCCTGGTGAAAGAGTAAATGGATGTATATATTCAGTAATGTCCATGGGCCAAGAAGATGGGTTGAGGGATGGCTATGAAGTCGTACGCGAATGTCATGATAGAGGGGAAAGAGATGGAAGTGAGGACATTTCGATTTTGTGAGTCTGAAGACGAGTTGACTAAGTGAAGAATCGATCAACTGCACCATTTCACTCATAATAGAGTTACTCAAGGCATCTAGTTTGGCCTTACCCATGAGCTCCCTGTTCTTCACTCATGCTCAGAGATCTTCGACTTTCTTGACTGGCCGCATGATATGTGCCACTCTGATCCAACCTCTACCCTAGTTTTATATGGGCGAGGGTTTTCTACCATCGTGATCAGAGAGTTTCAGAGTTTTGGATATTCGATGCATAATCCGTCTTGCTGAGATTCACAGGACACCATAGCTATATTCTGGAGTGTACATGTATACTGTTACATACGTATATTACATAAGTTTTCATCCCCAAGAGCCCAACATACATTGGTAGAGTACTCTAGTTCCTGGGACAGAAGTAATTCTAGCTCTTCATCTCTTGTCTGACTTAGGCTATTTATGGCCTCAAGTTCCTCACCAGTACACGTTGATAACTCGAAAACAGATTCTAGAGCTACGAAAGGTAGATTGGAATGTGGAGTACTCAATATTTCTTCATCCAGGCTGCAAAAGTCTTGGTTCTGCACAATCTTTGGCTTACCCATCTCTGAAGGAGTATTTCCCAAGCTTTGAGATGGTCCGCATCGTTGCGCAGATTGTACAATGTCCTCGAGATTAGCAAATTCCCTCAATCTGTTGAATAAAGAGGTCTCGGACGCTAAAATCTCCTCAGGTGACCAGCCATACGCAATGAAGCCATCGATGAGCGCTCGAGTGGCTAATTCATTGTATGATATGATGTCATTGTATAGAACGGGAGCTTCCGCCATTAGGAATTCGATGATAAGTCGAATGTCCGCAGTGCTTAATTTTCGTTCCCAGCTATAGATCGGGTTAGCAACTCTGAAATTCGAGCTGATGCAGGAAAATAGCCATACATTGTAGACACGTTAGAGCCAAGGCGGAGTATAAATCCGGGACCGCCCTCCATCAGAATTTGTAGATAGCCACGGCCTGCTTTTCTTTCTGCTTTCACGACCTCAACTGTCGTCGAGATTATCTCTGCTTGTAATTCAAATGCTGCAGTGATTCTGCCACGTCCCTGAGAAAGGATAAGGTCGCGAGATTTAGAAAGCTCGTCCAAATCGTGTTCCAGGTAGATATAGCAAAAGCGAGCTGCATACAAGTATTGTTCCCTCGCTCTCTTGATGGTGCGATGTCCATCATATAGACTTCGAAGTCGAGCTTTGGTGTTGGGCATGCTTGGTTTGTTAAAGATTGCAGATCTGGATTTCCACATGTTCTCCGCAAAGTCTTGGGCTAACCCTGGTGCCTCAACTAGCCCTTGAACTGCTCGGAATAGATAATCCAACCTTGCTCGACGATCTCCAAGGCGTTCCGCAAAGAATTGCTTTGCCCTCCAGAGCACGTTTTCAGATTGTGCCGGCATAAAACCCTTCGAAAAAAGGTCCGTATCTTCTAAAATGTCGATAGACAATTGATTGCAGATTGGCGGGGTTGTAAATGGCGAGCTCCCGTGAGCGGATGCAAGGGCATCGTCTAAATCCGAGCGTTCTGGGAAACTCGATATCGATTCCAATTCAGATTGAGAGGAGATGAGCGAGTCCAGTTGCGATGGTGACGGAGAAGGTGTATTCATACTAGATGGGCTGGGGGGCAGTGCCCCAGAAGCTAACGATGCTTTGAACTTATTAGACCCAAACGGAGAATGGGCCGTTTGGATAGTGCTAACCTTTGCATCGATGGTTTCTAGAACAGGGCCCACTATCATAGAGGAATTGCTTCCTTTTACGCTTGCGCCCTTGACCTTCAACTGGATGAATCGAAGCGGATGTGGTATTGTTGGCTGATGCTGATCTTGAGATTCCACGTGCCTCTGTGATATAGAGAAGAATTTCAGCTTCATGGATCTCAGGTAGTAGTTGTCGGAGTTGTGGCACAGTCCCGCGCTGCAGGAACTGCTGGAAACTCTCTCTTGCCTATTGAAAACATCAAAACTGCTCGTTATCGACGAGATTCGAGTGTGTAGCTCTTACTGAAGAACCTACGACATCAGCCGGTGAAACTTTCTCAAGAACCCATCGCAAGACTTCTAGGGGATCGGAGTTCACTCCATTCATATTGAATAAAATAGAATTTACTACAAAGAGGGTGCTGAGAAGTTATGAAGTGTGGCGCATGAAGAGACTATTGTAGAGAGTAAGCCTGCTTTAAGCTTTCCAATACCACTTGGCGCATTGACGGGAAAATGTACGGTGGCGCTGACAAGATCAACACTCTGCAATATTCCCGCACCAATTCAAACTGATTAACGTAAAGTTGCAAATTAACAAGCTTAATGGAGAAAAGGTTTCTCGGTGTTATCTGGTTCACGTGCTCTAGTGCAGGGAATCCGATTTTCAAAACCACGCTAGTATTAGTCTATTCCACAGTGGTACCCAGTATGCTACAAGCTGCGGCTTTGTATGACGCGTCTTGACGTTGTAGGACTATCCGCTGGGGCCCGACTTCGGTCCGCTAGGGCCTTGTTACACGAAATTTGGCTATATTTGGTTGGAGCAGAGGATAGATTTTCCTAGAGATATGATTTATTGGCCACTGGATGGCAATTCGGAGCATGCAGCTAAATGCGTGGCTTCCAAAGTGTCGTGGCACAATGCATGGCCAAAGACAGGTACAACGAGAAGACGGCCAGAACGAGTGTTCCAGATCGTTGTTTTCCCTATTGAATCTACCTTTGCTTGGGGAGACTAATTTCAGAAGTGACTTGAGTATCCTGTAGCGGGAAAGGAAGGTCCTTTCTAAGCACCCCGCACCTCTCGAGCATAGGATATGCCCGGAATGCCACTCTATATTTGAGATGCACGTCAACCTATGAGAGCCCACGCATCATATTCAGGGGTTAAAACAATGCAGTGGCCAATGCACAGTCCAAAGCTACCCCATGGTCGTAAATAGAAAAGCTTGGTGCAAAAAAGCTTTTGCCAAGCTGCAGGTGCCATGGCACAGGGACAAGGATCTCGCGTTCATAGATCCGTAAGTGAGATGTTGGCTAATTCCTCTTCGTCATTTTCAATAGCATGGACATGTTTATCCTCTGTTCAAACCGGTAGATAAAACCGGGGTATTTCGGCGCGGATAACGGGTATTTGTGACCATCTAGTCATTGAATCCGATACGTAGGTCGCCGTTCATGCTACTAGGTAAAGTTTATCTTGTTATCAGCGGCCCATGCTGTCTATGCAGCACGCGACACAATAGTAATCCTACCAACCCCAACATACAGCCCTTGGTGTAAACAAGGTATCTCAAAGGCAGAAACATTATTCAGTCTCCGCTATTAGTTGTTTTATAGGATAAATTTCTCATCGAAGAGCATATATTGCTTGATTTGGAGGTGTTGATATGATCCTCGAATGCTGATTGGTCCTGGCATTGTACTTAGGTAGCTTAGCTTGCACCCTAGGTATGACCTCGGCCCTTCTGCAATTTACCAATGCATTCTGTTCCCGGCTCAGTATGACCGAATTATGCAAAACGCGACATGAAATACCTCAATTGTTGTCACATAAATACCTCAATCCTTGCCACGTAAGGTAATGTGGAATACGACAAGAGTCCAGTTAAGCAGATCAACAAATCGAGCAGACTTGAGAAGTCAGTGGAGACGGCACATGCGAATATGTCGATCCTTTTTGATACAGTGGCTTTCGCGTCTTCATGCTCAGTTCTGCATGAATGTCCCAATAGCAGCTTTCTCTAGGGTTGCGACATCATGTTCCTCGGTTCGGTAGACCTTCACCCGTACTATAAGAATCATGACTGCCATTTCGGTACAACACTAAGACACTAGTTTGTCCGTGTAGGTCACAGGCCATCCCCAGATAACACCTGAGGAAAGTCCTGTCAAGTGATTGTATCTGATCGGACCGATTGAAAGTCGCAAGTCATCGTAGCTTTAACCTTAGCTTGTGCACCCCCCGGTAATCTGTTCCCTTGTATTTTAGCCGTGGAGAGGGGCCTTATCCCTAGTTTCGGTCGGGAAAATTGAGTCAGTTGGCAAGTGATCCGTAAGTACGTTACAGGCATAGCGAAACACCTACCAAGGATTATCTACGCACATACCTTCAACACAGATGTTTCTCATTACACCTTACTGTCTACAGCTAATTCATTATCACTGCACGAGAAGTGCCCACCGAGTGGCTACGTAAGTTAGATACTCTGGATTTTGCTACTCACAACAATTATTTTGAGATAAAGAACTCAGCGTTTTGCATAAGCCGAACACAGTTACTACTATAACCTCTCCATATTTCATGTAAGTACAAGAGAGAACCTGTCTGTGTCTAAAACGCTCTCATGTTGTCGAAATGTATAGTAATAGGCAACGACTAACGAGGTTTGCTTAGAGTAGGATAGTACCATTCGAGTTTCCCAAAAGCAAATGTTTCCCGTAGCGTGAGGTGTTTAGCGATCTAAGAATGAACTTTGTGATTCTGAGTGCCTTATCACCTAGGGTATGATTTAGATACATGGCCATTGTAAATGCAGTATTCGGATCTCTCCTCAGGCTGCATTGCAATGTCGGGCGGCATTAGTTATGGCCCAATTTTTAAACATTCGGACCGATGCACGAGGTAGCCTGGTCATATGTTATATGACGGTCACATTCTTTTCTCAGTTCTTCACGACTTCTAAATTATCATCCACATGCATTTCTTCAGCCATTTCCGAAATAGAGAGAGATGCCTCTATGATGCTCTGGAGCACAAAGAACGCGACACGGACGCGAATACGAAAAAACCTCCGAGGGCTCTGTAGTGGTACAGCTCTATATTGGGGATTAAGCGCTTTCCTTCTTGTTGCACTGGTTTTTGTTACTCTGAGAATAGAGAACATCAATAAAACGTCTGAGCTAGGGACTTATGAGTTTGGTTTTGTGACAGACATAGGTAACGAAGCTCTAGTTGCTTGGGAGAATTGCTGCTGATGGATACGTAGAACCATCGCGTACTGCAACATCATTGAACCGAAAAAAGTTTTACGGGGGAGTTAACATCGATAAGTACGGGTCATACTCGATTACCAGAGATCCTAATAGCGCAGAATTCTTTGCGCCCTCAAGTCCAGAAGTTGATGCTGCATGGATGTATGAGATGCTACCAAGTAAAACCATTTCTCTTCCAAATGACTATAAGTCCTGAAATAACTTTTACCGGATGGCACACTTGGGTTTTTGAAATTGACGCCAGATGAAATAAGGAATTATGGTATCCAAGTCTTGGATAAAGACCTCAGATATGGACACTACGAAATACAGTGTGTATTCATTCCTACTCCAGAACAGTGAAGGTAATATCTTACAGGAAAATTGAAGACCAAGTGCAATACATTCTCTTCATTGCCTTGTGCGTTTTTTACTGATCCGTCCCCTATTTCACGAACCCTGTACTAAAACGAAACCCAGAACTATATCAGAAAATCGCTTGCCCGAGATTACTACACGGATATCACGGATGACCCTGAGAGACCATATCATATGTGTCATCGAATGCATCTTGGTATGGCTTAACTTACGCATTGAATTGAACTCATTATCATGCTAATCAATGATTGATACACCAGAACACTGCTTGGAAAACACTCGACAGCATCTGACTTGTATTTTCGATTTGACTTGGACTCTCCTCGTCTGGAGACCAGAAGCCAAGGTAGCCCATGCAGCTACCGATCAATGGCATGTCTGCAGAGATTTTGATGCTATGATGGGCTGGATGGCCAACAGAATTTAGTCAAAACTTCAGGAACTGGGGAAAAGTAGAGAGGCTGTGAGAAGGCATGATTGTGCGAGTTAGAAGAGTGCTAGGGTTGAATTTTCAGAGTAAATTTCTTACTGGTATAAGATTAGTACCGGCTGTTGTGAACAATATCGTTCAAAGGCGTTGAGCAGTATTGTCCCAGAAGGGTTGCAGTGGTAAAGCTGACTCAAGTGTATTCTGTGAAAAATAGATATTGTAATTCTACGATCGATCAAAAATCAACAGTAGCTTGAGTACTATTGGATAGTAATACATGGATGGATGATTGTGTCGTGATTAGAGACCTTGCGTCTCAACAACTCAATTCAAAATTTTCCCGTGGTTCAACGGTGTTTTTCCATCTCTCAGTCGCCACAACGGCAGATAATACCAGCACAGATCCAATCAGAGATAAAGAATCCGGGCTGGTGCCCCAGACACATACATCCGCTATGAGGGCCAGGACCACTTGCAATGATATCATATATACCGCAGCGCCATCTCGCTCTGAGGTCAGTCCGGCTGTAAGGAAGTACTCCTGAGAAATTATTAATACGATACAACGGACATTCAGGAGTACCTACCATGAGAGAACCGGTAATACCTATAAGTAGAAGGATAGTCCATTGCAAAGTGCTAAGATCCCAACGATACTTCATACCTGGTATCACAGCGAAACAGACGCTGCTCACAACCAGGACGCCCGTGGCAAAGCAATTTGTCACGGCTAATGGGTGAGCTCTTTCACCAATGGCTGAGATGATGGAGTACGCTATCTGCCTCAATCCATTAGTAAGAAGATACACATGTTCCAGTACGAGCATGATTTACCATTCCACCAAGTACACCCATGATAGAGAATGCGAAGCCAGTGCCTGAGACTGCATATCGATGTTCACCATCATGGTACAGATGATCAAAAATAAAGTTCGGTTTGGTGATGAGCCCAACACCCAGTAAACTAATCAGTACAGAACTGAGACGAAGCAAATCGAGTCTTCTACATATCAGAAATCCGGCCCCCAGGGGTGCGAGAAGATTAAGAACTGTTGCGTCACCTAGAGTCAGATAGGAAAGAGAATCTTGAAGAATCAGTTTGTGTGAATTTTTCGTGATATGTAGACTTACAGTAAAATCCGAATGAACCGCAAATCCCACCAACTACTCGTAACACCAAAAGATATCTGAGGTTATAGCTGCCAAGTGGAAGCTCGCGCGAATACCAGGTCCTGAGACAAAGACTGTTCAGGCTTAGGGTAACAAACATGCGGACCTGAAGGATCTGCTGAGGGTCTATATCGCCGGTCGTTTCCAAGAATTTGGCCAAGGTATGAACAATGACAGCGAAAACTTGCGACACGAAAACCAGTAATGAGCCTTTACTAATCATATTGAATGTCCTATAGGAGTCCCGAAGAGGGAAGATGGGAAGGTGAATGGAGAAGTGCCAAAAGGAAGATGATGTAACTTTCACTTTTCCGAATCATATTGTACAGTTATAATGACGTTGGAGAACATATCTATGTCACATGATTTCGGTCCAGGATCAGTCATGGCATATTGACTGCATCCTTTGGATTTGAACAACGCAAAGATAAAAAGACCAGTGCATTGAAATTATGACCGAAAAATCAGAATCTATTCTATATACTCAAATGGTACATCACTGGTCAATCAGACGCTTGATTGTTGGACCCACGTACCCATGATTAATTAACACGTACCAAATGAAAGGGCCAGGTACCACAGCAAAACAGAGCGAGTACATGAGGTAATTGCAATTCATTCCAACAACCGGGATGTGGTAAAAATCGGAAGCCCACACGTCAAAGACAAGTCATTGTGTGTGCCATGGTGGTGCTAATCACGTGATTTGCCGATCGCTTCATGCTCATTACGTAGCCCATGTGCGCCCAAGTTCTTTACAAAGAGGCCTGTCCATCCCAAAAACATTTTAGGCAGTTTTTTCCCATTCAAAAAATTCAATCAGTCACTCCAGACACCAATGTGCAACACGATGAGATGAATGTAAGTGTGTGTTCTCGGCAATATCGTTGCCGACTCAGCTTACGCTATTCTATTTATAGTAGTCTTTAAACGGGCACATGCTACTTCAAATACTCAAGGTTCCGTATTTTAGGACTAGGAGGCTATTCGAATCCAGAATGAAGGTTTCCTCTTTGGTGGCTAGGCAATTAAGAATTTTAAAGTTATTCTCACGCTGTGGAGTTACAATCGAATTGTAATGTACTGACTTTCATTCCTATATCTGATATTCCCAGGCTGCATTTCTCTTGTCACGACGCAGAATCTGCATTATATAAAGGTTTAATTGTATATGGAGTACACGTGAATGGTGGCTTTTGAGGAACGGCCGTCGCCATGTATATTCAACCCTGCACGTAACCACAGAAACCGCACTGCATCTTGATTCGCCAAAAGCCGCCTGGATATCGCAAGACCGAAAACTTGAAATTGCCGGGAATCTCAAGCAGGATCTTTTCTATATACATAACATTGTGTAAGTTGCCGATACGAGTCAAAGATTTTTCATTTATACCAGGGACCAGCTTAATGTCACTTTGCATCCCATTATCTTCGCACTAGTTTTGCAGCATTTATGTTCATCGACATCTGTCCTCGTGCAATCTGATTCCCATTATCGAGCAGTACAGCAATGCTTGATTACGCATACTTCTGGGATCGACTATGGTCGAAACAGGTGCATCAACAGGTAATGGATGATGAACTCAGGTACAGCGAGTCACATCTGCTTTCAAAGGAAGATCATAGCGAGAGCGCTCATACGACACTACAAAGGCATGAGAAATCCAGATTTCCAATTCTGACTATATCAATTGTCTTCCTCTGGACGATCATCGTATATTCCGTGGGATTTGCATCCGCACAACCATGGCGTGCCGGTAAATGGGGTTCTTTTGAGAGAGGGTTTTCGGAAGAGCAAGTCATTAGTAGGTCACCAAGACTGCCACACCTGTAACAAGTTGCTAACGAAATTTTCTCACAGCTCCATCTCACGTTTTCGAACTCACACAAACGGTGTTTACCGGGGGTGTTGATTTCACACCCGATGGCGAAGAGATTCTAGGCCCATCTAAATACGTTGGCGAACCATCTCCGGAGATTGATGCAGCGTGGGATGCGATTATCGGGGGCGAATCTCACTACTTCTCGGTGTCTGAAGACGAAGCCATCAAACTTTGGGGTAAGGACTTTGAAAGGTATAGGGACAGAATAAGAGGGGGCTGGACAGGAACGTAAGCTCTACAAATCCAATTGCGAGAATATTTTTGTCGGAGATCTAACATGTTCGTAGATTAGACTTGTTCCATTGCTTGCATTGTCTAAACCAATTAAGAAAGGCTCTCAGGCGGGATATTTATCCCGAGGAGAAGTATCGTGGTACAGTACATCAATGTAGGTATTGGCGAGCCCCGTAATATAGATTTCAATGAACTGACCTTACATTCAGTACATTGCATCGATCACTTGAGACAAGTGATACAATGCCAAGCAACATCTGTCATTTCTCCAAGCGAATATCATGACCGGCGTGGACAGTATATCAATCCTAAGCAGCTGCACACGTGCAGAAGCTTTGAAAAGTTGCATGAGTTCTCCAAGGCACGGTATAATGGTACTATCGCAGTGCCACGAAGCAAAAGAATTCCATTACACCCCCAGGTGTTATCTCCATAGATGACAGCATAGAATTAGGATAGGGTTGGGGCTTGGAAAGACAAATAGAACTTGTCACTGAATCTTGCATACATGCATCACTTCTTAAGTGGAAAATCTACCAATGGAGAGCAGTTTTGGTGACTAAGGGTAAACCAGTTCATTGTGCTGATAAGCTTTAGCTGTTTCCAGATATCAGGTATTTTCTTTCCTTTCCACGATTACTACCCTTCCCAACAAGTTTGTCGCTTTGGCTTCACATGTATAGGTGTCCCAGTCTTTGATTGTAGCTGATACAAAGTGTGCGGCGAGAAGTCAGGTGTCAAGAGCTTTTGACAATGTGCGATATGTGCTTGACTTCTTGAGATAGAATCAAGAACCCTAACAGCTGACTTTTGTGCCTTCATTTGCAACTTCCAAAGATAGCTGTATTAATATTGTTAACCTTTTAGATCAGAAAGATGGAGCTTGTATACCTACATGCAGTGTTGATGATGATACGTCCCATGAGTGAAAAGAATATCAAATTCTCCCTTCTTAACCTCTGCTTCGGAAACTTCTTCTCCCCCTTGATTTGATGTCCAATATGTAAAGTTGTTGGCTCTCAGGAAGCCCTCGGACAGTTCTTCGTCATAGCATGGCCGCGGCATCCAAGAAGACATCATGATGTCGTAAACGCAATCATTAGCTTTAGCTTCTTCCACAGACCAGCCACAGTGCCCTCTCTCGATTAAAGCGAATGGAGAAATTCCTCTATCCTTTTGGTTCCAGAGAAACAAAGATATCCACGTCAATACTGTGATGAACAGGATTACCATCTGAAGGTACAAAGACCAACGTATTCTTGCTTGTATCCTTTCCTGGAGTCCGATTGTTCGATGTTCTAAGAGCGTGGAGGATTCGGATTGTTCGCTATCGCAAGATCTTGCCATGAGCGGCTTTTCCAAGTCATCGTTTGGGTTCATGTTGCGTATTTCATATGTTCAAAAGATTAGAGAGGTATCGCATGCAGGCTACGACAGGCCGTATTTGTACCTTGCGCCTTATCGCAATTGAGATTACCTTGTCAGTGCCCCAAAGATCCGTGCACATGCTCGTATACGGGGAAATAGATTGCGAAACAATCCTCACACTATTAAATCAGACATCTGTAGTTATAAGACTTTCTACATTAACAATCAATCTCATCACTGATTTCGCACTCTACATTTCACCTACTGCTATGTTTTTCTTACGCAGGTCGAAATATAAAGCTATTCAACAAAGCGACGACAACATTTCGGATGTATCGTTGGGCCGACCACCCTCAGCATCCAGCTTATTGTATCTAGGGTGGATTCTCGCCTGCGCCTTCGCCTTCACCACTGCATTTCTCCTAGTCCAACTGTTGAGAATAAAGTCAGCTTTCCATGAAGTCGCTTTACAACACGGTTCATTCAACGAAGGATTCTCAACAGAATTTGGTCCTGCGAAGCCGTACATCCACGAGAAACAGTCTATGTTTTGGGGAGGCCCAAGATGGTACGATAATGGCACTGGTTATCATGTCAATAATCCCGCCGAACCCACCTACGTCGGTCCACCAAACGAAGAGATTGATGCGGCATGGGAGGATCTGCTTCGAGGTCGATACTTTACAATCACTGAGGAAGAGGCAGTGCAGACTTTTGGCAAACCCCACGGACTGTACTTACACCCCGATGGCGTAGGATACCTAACTGGCCTTGACGTCTTCCATTCTCTCCACTGCGTAGAACAGCTTAGGAGAGCTCTTGATCGAAACCACTACTTCAACAATCAAACAAAACTAGCATATCCTGATAGAGGCCATCGAGATCATTGTATTGATCACATTAGGCAACAGCTAATGTGTCATGCTGACCTCACCCCTATACCGGTCATTTGGTACAAAGGCCATAAGAGAAGCTTTGTGCAGTCAGACGTGGCACATACCTGCCGAGACTGGAACGCCGTCAGGCGATTTATCGCCAGTAGACCCTCATAACCGATGGACTAATAGGAAGAAGAATACCAACGGTCAATACAATTGACTCGGAAAAGTCATTTCAGGTGCCATGTTCAAGTAATCTCTACATGAAGTCTATGGAGATGTTCATATCCTACGTTCAACCAATATATCACCTCACAAATCTCCATTCCTGTGATGTGCCACCTCTAGATCGGATCAACTACTCTGCAATGCTGGGTTCTAAAACTCATCATCGATTTCACTACACTCAGAGCTAAAGAACCCGAAGCATACCAAGAAATCTTTATCATCCAAATGCTGAGATGAAAAGAGGTAGCCTATAGAGTTTCATTGAACAGGCGTTTGGGATATGGTGGCCTGGAAACGAAGCTCGCGAAAGTGGTAGATAAAGAATCATGGAAAATTGTTTTACAATCATATAGAACATAGGTATATGAATTGAATCTAGTAAGGCTTCTCAGTGCTTTTCAAAGATACCAGTATTGACCGACAAGGTGTTACAGCAAATGTTAGCACCTCCCGACAACTACAAGAAGAGCACGGCAGAAAAGGCCAGCGTTTTGGCACAAAGATAGCCACCAGTGAGACAGCAATAGTATTTACAGAGATGGAGTAGCGCCTTCAATCTCAGCTACCAAATGATCAAACTAGTAATGCTCAACAGCATCGCGCCTGGCTAACCAACTTCTCGATCTTGACTTAGTAAACCACCCTTTCTTTTTAAACAAGAATCCAGCTGGGAAAGAGTCAGCTAGCAATTTGAAATTTGCATACCAAAAGGTCACTCACCGGGTACTCGGTTTGTCGATTTTCGTTCCATGGTCGGAAACACATTACCGTCCGTGCTCACCCAATGCAACAGTTCAGCCAATGCAACACCAGCCGCCCTATCAAAATAACTACCCATCATTTTCAACACGTAATATCTCTACTACTATAATAGCTATTAAAGAAGCGATTATAGTAATTAATTTATAAGATATAGAAGGTTAACTTTTATATCGCGTAGCTACGAAAAAGTTTAGTATTAAGCTT